TGCTGCCCACCAGGGCCGCGCCCGGCCTCCACCACCTGAGTGCCTTCCTGGAGGAGCTGGAGGCTGTGGAGATGAAGAGGTTCAAGCTCCATGCAGGGACGGAGGCCGGAATCCCCCGGGGGCGCATGGAGGCCGCCGGGGCCCTGGAGATGGCGCAGCTGCTGGTGGCCCATCTGGGCAGCCGCCGGGCCTGGCTGCTGGCGCTCAGCATCTTCGAGCGGATCCACAGGCGCAACCTGTGGGAGCGAGGGCAGAGAGAGGACGCACATGGTGGTAAGGATACGAGGGCACTGGTGGGGCCGCTGTGCCTGCCCAGGAGATCCGGACCCTGGTCTATGGCTGTTTGGGGTCAGACTGTCTCTGGCAATTCCTCTTTTGTTTTTTTGTTTTTTTTTTTCTTTTTTGAGACAGGGTCTCGCTACATAGCCCAGGCTGGCCTCCAACTCCTGGTGATCCTCCTGCCTCAGCCTCCTGAGTACTGGGATTACAGGTGTGAGCTACTGTGCTGGAGTTTAAATTTTTTTTAAATAGAGCTAGAGGTGTAGCTCACTGCAAATGTCCCGGGACAATCTCCAGTACCAAGGAGGAAAGAAAAGCCGAAAGGTAAGCTGCAGGTGGTGACACACACCTATAAATGCAGCACTCTGGAGGCTGAAGCAGGAGGGTTGCTGTAAGTTTCAGGCCAGCCTGGGCCACACAGCAAGACCCTGTCTCGAAAAAATTAAACCAAAACAAAAACAGGTAATCATGAAAGGGAAGGAACGGTGTTATTGCTTCATGTTATTGCTTCAGTTCTGCATAAGGAGTTCTGGAGACAGCGTACCCCGCAAGGCTTGGCTTTGGATTTTGGAGACACAGTCTCACTAAGTTATGTTGCCCAGACTGGGCTCAGTCCAGGTCTCTTCCTGCCTCAGCCTCCCAAAGTGCTGGCAGCACTGGCGGGTAGCAGGCCCAGTTTGAATCCCTCAGGGAGGGACAAAAAATGCAGGCTAAACGGGTGCAGACAGCTCACAGATGGACACCCGTCCCGGGCCAGGGAAAACCTTCTCCAGGTCCCAGAGAGCCTGTAAGTGACAAGGTCACATTGGGGTGCGGTTGCCCGTGCCCATCATCCCAGCACTCTGGGAGACTGAGGAAGGAGTGTCACAAGGTCCAGCCCAGCTGGGGAGTTTAGCACCTTAGTGAGACCCAGTCTGAAAAACTAAAAGCAACAGCAGCAGCAACAGACCCACAATGATCACGTAGTAAAAAAAACGTTAGAAAAGTTGGTGGAGCTCGGTGTGCAGGCCCTGGGTTCAACCCTCAGTAGGGAGGAAGAGGAGACAGATCCGCCCTCTGGGGCAGGAGCCTGCAGGCAGGAGGAGGAGCTGGTCCCCAGGAAGTGCTGAGTCCGAGAAAGGCAGATCTCCTTGCCCGCCCCTCCCCCTCCCTTGTGGGCTGCTGGGTTTCCACCTCCTGCCCGGTGCACCTGTTTTTGTGTTTTGAGACATTATCTCACCTGAACTCACAGCGATCCTCCTGCCTCAGCCTCCTGGGATGGCAGGCGTGTGCCACCACCCCGAGTGCGCCCTCGGGTCCCTCCTTCCCGAGCTCCGCCCCTGTCCAGCAGGCATTCTCAACACCGGGGTCCCTGTCCCGTGCACCCCTGCTTCTTCCCTTCACCGGTGCACTTGCTGCTGTCCACACCGCACACAGAGCCATCTTAGTTAATTATTAATCTCAATTAAATAATTTTCCTCAGTTCACGCCTTCCTGGGCCCCCTTGGAGACCAGAATGAAGTCCTCCCACTTAGCCTGGTCCCCCAAGGTGTCCTTGCCCTGTCTCCCCAGATTTGGCCCTCCAGACCTTTTAGTTTTAGTTTTGAGACAGAGTCTTGCTGAGTCACTAAGTTTTGCAGGTTGGGCTTGAAATGGGATCAGAGTCGAGATCCTCCTGCCTCAGCCTGCCAAAGTGCTGGGATTACAGGCATCTTGGGAGCCTTTGGAGTCCCTGTTAAGTAAAATAAGGCTAACTGGAACTCAAGGCTGCCAGGGGGTGACAGCCCACCAGATAAGTGGACCAGCTGTGAGTGACTAGTGGGGGTGGTTAGGGCACAAAGGGACAGTTCCTGCCACGGTGGGTCAAGAGGAGGGACAAGGATCCTTCACGGTACTCAGACAAAGCACAGTTAGAATGTATGCACCTTAGCAGGGGAGGTGGTGCTCGCCTGTCATTCCAGCACTCAGGAGGCTGAGGCAGGAGGATGGATGGGAGTTGGAGGCCTGCCTGGGCTATGCAGTGAGACCGTGCCTCGAAAAACCAAAATCACCACCTGGCTGGGTCTGGACACAGGCCCTGTCCTCATCTGCAGCGACCCACCCGGGTGTCTAGGCTTTCCAGCTAACACCTCCTGCGCTGTCTGCCTCCTCCAGGGTCGGGATGGGATCCGGATGGAGGTGGACGCACCCTGGGGTGCGGGCGGAGGAGCCGGGTGAGCCTCCCGGGAGTGCTGGCCAGGTCCCTGGATTTGTGGGCTGATGTCCCCAAATTCCCTTCCAGGGACTGCACCTGAGCTCCAGTCAGCCTGCCAGCCCGAAGTCACCTCCGCCGCCCCCAGACAAGGTGATTCACCAGCGCATGCACGTTAGCTGCCTGTGACCCACTGTGCAGCAGGGCGGGTGTTTGTCTGTTTGTCCGTTTGTTGAGACAAGGTTCCGCTATGTAGTTCAATCTGGCCTTCAGCGCACTATGGAACCCAGGCTGGCCTAGAGCTCCTGGAGATGCTCCGGCCTCGGCCTCCAGAGGGCTGGGGTGAGGTGAGCACCACCACGCCCTGCTTAGCAGGGCCTCTGTCGTGTTGGCACAAACAGCAAGGCTTGGGGTGTGTGGTCGCAGGAGTCACTCGGGTCAGCAGCGCCGAAGCCGAACTGCCGCCTGCCGCCTGTCCAGCTGGTGGGAAAGGTTTCCGTCCGGCTCGCACAAGGCCCAAGTGTCACTGGCGAGCGTGCATCATTAGTGCAATAGAAAAGGAAGTGAAAAGGAAGCTCAGATTTACAGGAACAACAACAAAAAAAAAGCCTCGAGAGAAACGGCATGGTGGTGCATGCCTGTGAGCCCAGCAGTCAGGAGGCCGAAGCAGGAGGATAGTCAGGAGTTGGAGGCCGGCCTGGGTTACAGAGCGAGACCCCCTCAAAAACAACAGTTAGAGGCGGGCAGGGAGGACTTCAGCAAGGTCACTGGAGGGACCGTAGGCTTGCTGCAGAGGGTGCAGCCGGTGGGGACGGGCCACCGTCAGCTCCGCCCGTCAGTCCTAGGACAGTTCGATCCCAGGAAGGGTCAGCACTGTCTGCGGGGTCTCGGCCCTGCGGCTCGGCGACTGCCGGCTCCGGACCAGGGCCTGGCGCGAAGGTCCGCATCTTCCTCCCGCCTCAGTCCTCATGGTAGCTCGGGGCCCTCAGCTTTGCTAACTCCCACGCAGCCCGCGGGGCCAGCGCGCACCAGGAGGAGTGGAGGGCGCAACCCGGGCCGACAGGGACAGAGGACGCAGACAAAGGCCAAGCTCCGCTCCGCGCTTAGGGACCTACGGTGAAGTCAGGCTTCAGGGCCGGAGGGGCTCAGAGCGCAGGCCTGCCATCCCAGCCCTCAGGAGGCTGAGGCAGGAGGATCCTTGCGTGTTCATAACCAGCCCGGGCTACAGAGTGAGGTCAAGGCCAGTCCGAACCGTGTGGCGCGACCCGGTTTCAGAGACGCAAAGAAATAAGCGTTCCCCGCAGCTCCCGACCACACAGCGGCAGGCCCACGCCCGCTGACCCCCGTCCCCGTGCCGCC